GCACCCCCAAAAAAGTAAAGTTTCTTATTAAAAGTGTATGCTTCGTATATTTAAATTCACATGCTAGAAAGCTTTTTCTCTGGAGACATGGAATGATGTATTTATATTATGCTTACTCTTAAGAGGAGATTATTGAAGATAAATTCAAAGTTTGCAAATGTATGAGAGAGCAATAATGACTATCATAAAACCTTAGAAACAAAATCTGCATATTTTAAATTCTGGTTGTGAGACAACATAATCAACAGGATTTAACCAATGAACATAGGGATCACAGTATAATACAAAACTTGCAGTTATCAAATTTTGCCATTTTCTAAACTAAGGATTAAAATTATTATAAAATTTTAGAAACAGCATTTTTACAAATAAACAATGTGCAAAAACAACATGGTCTTTTCCAAAAAAATTTTAAATATTAAAACTATCCTCCCCCAATATCTAATGTGGTATATGGCTCTTCCTTATCTACAATTCCATAATTATTTCATCACCCCACACAGTAAAAAAGTAGTTTCATATTTTAACTTCTTATGTTGTTTTGTTTTGTTTTTCATAACTGAGAATTAATACCTGCAAAAATTCTCCAGGTCTAATTTTAACCCAAACACTAAGAAGGCTAGTAGAAAAGTTGATATAGATTCATTCAGAAGATTAAATAGAACAAGTTATGGGGTATCTGGTTGACTCAGTCAGTAGAGCGTGTGACTCTTGATCTCAGGGTTGTGAGTTCAAGTACCATGTTGGGGTAGAGATTACTAAAATAAATTAAATAAATAAATACATACATACATACAAACATGAAAAAACAGGTTATAAGATCCATAAATATTTTGGGTATGCTAATTACTTATTTAACCAAACAAGTGAAATGTTCCAATTCAATTCTGTTTTCTACAACTGGATTAACTAACCCATTTATTTAGCATCAGTATAGAATATTTAAACCCTCATCTAGAATAAATCTGCCCTGACTGGAGCCGCAACTCATCGTGTGTTTTATCTGACAGAGTATTAAAGTAGAAAGAGTGGACACATGAAAAGGAGAACTTTAGGGCACAAAGAGGATTCCCTTAGAAATGTGGCACAGGGTGACTCTACGTAGTAAGAAACACTTTAAGTTCTTAAAGATTTCTCAGCCTAATCGTCGAAACATAGAATGTGCTAGGTCATTGGTACCTGGCTGAGGAAAATGCTGTAGAAAACCCAGAATTCAAAATACCTTAACAGGTAACCCCCTTCTCCCCCCTCCCAATGTTTAAGGGATTTTATGTGCAATCTTAAGCTAATAACTTAAAAAGTCAACAAGAGCATATTACAAATTTGGAAGATACTCAAAATGTAAACTGATCAGCAACAGAAGATAATTAGAAAAAGACAAAAACAACCAAGGGAAAACCACCTGAGCTTTCAGGGGTTCCTTGGAAATTCTTTCCATAAGGTGTAATCATTTTCTTAATCACTTAAATATACAAGTTAAACATTCACATTTACTTTTATTCACAAACTAAAGCAGGCCATATAAAGCTCAGGCTTTTCTAAATACCACCCGAGTTTCCAGAAACACCTCTGATAGAAGCCTGGTGCAAATCTTTCAGGCTTATTTTGGATGAAAACATGATTCCACCAATATGATACTGTGGAAAATAAGACACCATTTTCTTTTTCAAAAATAGTATCACATTGTACATTCTGCAACTTGGATTTTTCACTCAACATTACATTTCTGAGATCAGTTTCACCACAAAGTATCAATTCAATATATTCCTTTTAACTACTCAGACAGTGTTTTTCTAACTTTTTTGACTAAGTCTCACAGTAAGAAATACATTTTATATGGTGACCCAGTTCACACTTGTAACCATGCAAAACTGAAACAAAAATCTCACCAAATAATATTTATCCACACTGTGTGCAAATGCACTTATTTTCTTTTCTTCCCCAGTTTTATTGAAATATAATTAACATATACATTGGATTCGTTTTAGGTATACATACAATATGATAATATAAAACCATCTGGTCCTGTTGCTTTATTGTGGTAGTTCATTGCTAACTCTTCTATTTCTTCTATACAAATGATTCCATTTAAGCTCTCTATTTTTACTGAGATCAATTTTGGTAACCTGTCTCTTCCTAAAAAAAATCCACTTTATCCAAGTTTTCAACTTTATTTGCATAGAGGTGTGTAGAGTAGCATCTTGTGATTTTTAAAAACTTTCCTCTAGATCATTTCTGCTTGCTATTTATTATTTCATATATTTTTCTCCCTTCTCCTCCTGATTAAATATACTAATAATTAATTTTGTTGATTTTTCTAAGGACCCAGAATTTTGACTTACTGATTTGATCTGCTTTTTCATTCTCCTCCTCATTAACATCTATTTATTATCTTTTGTATTTGCCTCTTTGTGCTTTCTTGAAATGTCTTTTGTTTTTCTTTTTCTAGCTTTTTGAGTTGGTAATTTTGTTTTTTATTATTCCTTTTATATAAGGCTTGCTGTGCTTTTTGGTGCATAGGTATCTATAACATATCTTCATAGTAAAATGCAGCTTTTAATATTAGAATGTATCCTATGTCCCATTTAACATTTATTTGCCTGAATTCTACTTTATCTGAAATAAGGATCAGAACATGTGTTTTTTTCTTGTTTCCACCTCTCTGCTCTATCTTTGACCATCCTTCTATTTTTAGGGATTTAAATCACTGTGTTTTAGCTAGATCTCTTGTGGATAGCCTGGCACTGGTTTTTTGCTACATAAGCCAATTTTAAAATCTTTTCCTTTAGTAGGCAAGTTAAGCCTGATCACCTTTATTGATATAACTGATATACTTGGTCACAATTCAATTATATCATCTTACTTTATATGTGCTATGTGTATTATGTTATGCTATGTTTCTCTATTTGGTGTGTCTTCTTTATTAATTAAAAACGTTTTTTCTTGGGGTGCCTGGGTGGCTCAGTCTGTTAAGTACCTGACTCTTGATTTCAGTTCAGGTCATGATCTCAGGGTTGTAGGATTGAGCCTCATGTCAGACTCTGCACTGAGCGTAGAGCTTGCTCAAGATTCTCTCTCTCCCTCTGTCCCTCCCCCACTAGCATGCACACGTGCACACTCTCTCTCTCTTAAAAAAACTTTTTTTTTTCTTGTATTAGGAACGTTTGTATTTTTATCCTATGTGCCTTTATTGTGCTCTGAATCCTGTTTTTTCTTACTTAAATTTTTACTGTCTGGGCTGCCAATCCTTTGACTCCCACCTACTATTCACCACCCAATGGTGGTCTACTTTCTCTTTTCTCTCAGCATTTGCCTCCCAGTTATTGAGGTGCATTTTTTCACTTTGTCAGAACATACGATGTTTACACACTATTTTCCAACCCTGGCTCCACCCTTTCAGTCTTAGCTCTACAATGAAATATAATAAATGTTCACCATCTGTCATCTTACGGAAGATTCCCTGGTTATCTCTAGGTTGGAGGAAACGCATTCATTAGATTCCTCAAGAAGGACTCATGTGGACAATACTCCCTTAATTTTCTTATATAAGACTCCCTGCCACCACACCTTTCCTATGTATCTAATTACCCCCAGAAACAATGGTTCTCTGGAGCTGCCACCTCTGCTCACTTTCCAGCCCATTCCCTGTAGCTGGGGATGTGAATTACCAAGTCCCAGATATCTGTTGTGTATTTGACTCGTAGTGTTGGGTTTTCTCATTACTGGGGATGACTTTGTCCATGCTTATTCCATGCCCTCTGTCTTTCTCTCCTCTTAACTTGCAGTGCCCTAAGCATCCTTTCCCCACTCAACATATCCATGGATTTGTAACAATAATGCCAACTCTGGTGGAATTTGGTGTTCATTTCTCTGCTTACAGGAAATTAGAGCTCATGGTGGCCTCTGCCTCCTGGTAATACTCAAAGTGTGGCTTGTGTGAGGTTTTATTTGCACTTGTTGTTGATCTTACAATTTGGGAAGAGGATATATATGATTTGGATTCAGGTGGCTATCTTTATCCTCCAGTCTTTATCTAATGTTTTTGATGTGGTTAAGATCATTGATTTTATTATTTTTTATGGTAGATAATGCATTTGGAATTTGGTTAGACATGAATTAGTGACACCCAAACAATCTGTAAAAGTGATTAAGAAATCTTCATAAAATATAGCACCCTCTTTCAGGAGGAACTTCAAAATTGAGACTACGTCATTCCAAGGTTGTGTCTGTATATGCAGATGTATCAGAATAACTGAAATATAATTTTTGATGGGACTTAGCTATGAAAAGGGATCAGAACTACCCATGTACCTATAAATAGCAGTCACAAGGCCCCTGAAAGCTCTGCCACTGACACAAGGAGCCCAGTGCACCAACAGAACCAAAATCCCCATTCAGATGGGGCCAACACACTTTAACATGAATGATGTTATTAAAACATGAAGAAAAATGTTTACACAAATGGCAAAGACCATAACAGTATTAATAATAATAACTCTGAACTTAATGCTTATTTCAATATATACCAGGAAATTTGCTTAAAATTGTGTGTACATCATCTCCATGAATCATCACTATTCTATTAAGCAGGCATTATTATTATTTTTTTGGATGTAGTGTTCCATGTTTCACTGTTTGTGCATAACACCCAGTGCTCCACGCAGAACGTGCCCTCTTTAATACCCATCACCAGGCTAAC